TATTCAGTAGCTCTTGGGCGATGTTCATGCGACGTTTCTTTTGGTCGAAATTGAGCAATTTCGGAACAAACTTCGCTGACACACGTCTCATGTCTAAAACACTCGTCAAAATTGATTGGCACGAACCAAATGAGATGCCAATATCATCAGCAATTTCTCTAATGGTAATTCGACGATTTCCCAACACTATTTTTTTCACTTCTTCAACATTCTCATCAGTTGTTGATGTGCTGGGGCGTCCAGAACGAGGTTCGTCGTCGGTGTCTTCTCGGCCTTCTTGGAAGAGTTTATACCACTTGTAAACATTTTTTTGGCTTAAAGTAGACTCACCGTATGCCACTTTCAGCATTTCAAGTGTTTTGGAACATTTGATTCCATTTTTCACACAAAATTTAATGCAAACTCTTTGATCCATGTTTTTAGACAGCAGCAAATCGTGGAGCACGCAAAACACTTCTAACCTTGATGCCTCTCACAAACAAACCAAACATACTACAAAGCTGAAATTTGGAACGTATGTTCTAGACGAGTGTACCGACATAACCAAATAAAAAAGTCGAAGATCGAACGGACGTAGCCCGCTAAATTTCAAAATTCACCTTACTTTTTGATCACACCTCGTATCTGGTTATAAACCGATTGCTCTTGGCTACCTCAGATAAACGTCGATTGATCGAGTGTCGAACGACCTACGCACACTATGGGGTTAGGTTAGGTTCGCCCGTTTTCTTACTGACAATGTTAAGAAGTTACTTCGATACTTTTGAATAACTGCAGTAAAAATTTTAGATCATGTACTTACGTCGATCTTGAAGATAACCTGACTACGCTTTTATAGCCACGGGAGACCAAGTTGGTTCACTGAATGCGACACTTCTGGTTCATAGCAGTTACCGACGCCTTAATGCTTTCAAACTATCAGTTACGTGTGATAGTATAGTCGCTATGGCATAATACAAAATTTATAAATTTATCTATAGTTTATACTTGCTAGAGATGAAAAGCTGCCCATCAGTCTTCATGATATGTTGAATTGTGCTGTACGAATACCGCACTTCTAACTCCTTTGCAAAGGGGGGGGGATTTATCCTCGAAATATAGCTAAGTGCGCCACTGCTATGCCCCCTGCGAGTTATTAAAGGGTCCTTTTCCGGTGAAGGAAGCCGGCGCTGATTCCACAGGAGCAAACCTACCGCGATGACGGGAAAGGTGAATAGAAAGATTCGGGATAAGTACAAAGAGGCGATCCCTTTTATTTACGCCAACCAAAGTACATCTTTGAATATAAATACAAAAGTGGTGAGCGCGTTCGCTCAATCCTCCAAACGCGACAGCAGGCGGCGGCTAGGAGCGTAATCGCTCAACTATCATACGCGACTAATATATGATATTTAGGAGCAGATTCGCTCTACTAATGATCGCGACAAGTCAATTCGCGGCGTCGTACCGGGCAAGAGCTGGTACGTGAGAGAGAGTTCCGCGAAATAGAGATGAAACAAACCCACCGGGTAGCTCCTCCCGCGGCTCGCTGGTGGAGAACCGGCGACGGCGGAATCGCAGTCCGGCTGGCAGCGGGGCTCGCTGGATCACCGGCGGCGGCTGGTTGTCAGCTGGCGGCCGGGATCGGCTCCTCAGGCGTCGGATGATGATCGCCGGGGAAGGCTGCTCGGAAGCAGCCGGAGATTCGCCACAAAGACTTCTCTCGTCCTGGGGTTTCTCTCTCCTGGCGCGTCGTCTGACTTCTCTCGCGCCGTGACCTCATTAACGTACGGTCACTCTCCAACTGTCCTCAATCTCTCCCGCTCTCATAATTCTCGCGGCGCGAGCCGCGCTTTCCGCGTTCTCGCCCGTTCCTCTTCCTCTCTCGCTCTCTCTCACGCTCTTCGCGCTCTCACTCCTTCTCGCACCGTCCTCTCCGCCAGTCGCGCTCTCCTCTCTCCAGGCCCTGCAACGACACGAGCGCGTGAATGCTATGTCAACCACAGCCACGCTCGGCCGCTACATCCGTGCGAGGAGAGTGCCGCTCACAGGGCTAGCGAACATCGCTATCAGCCCTGTCACCCCTTAATATGACGAGAAACCGATCGCAAGCTATCTATAGGGTTCGCGGCGAAAGCTGCAACGATAGTATCAGTAAGACGATCGCATTCTCGTTGTCGACCTCCATTGGAATTCCTGGCTATACTCGTAACGCTGCCTATTTCTCTTAATTAACTTGCAGTATTTTCGATGATTCGGGGATCAGGATTATTTGCTCTGAGTAGTGAAATGGTAAATATAAAGTAATTTGAGCAAACGCGTTAGTGTTACTTTCAACCCAGCCCAAACACAACACTGTACCGGTTTACTCCTCGTCAGTATAAACGTTGTAATTAGCCATTATGCCATGAAGAAGTACACTGTGCCAAAAACGTTGGGCAGCTAACTCCATTAATAGTAATAAACAATTACATATTAAAAGAAATTTCTAATCAATTGCTTATAACTATTAATATTTGGCTGTTCGAGTTTACGTCCTTTATCAAATATTCTAATTTTCAAACTATCGGAAAATCTGTGCTTAACCCTTTAACGCTCAAATGGCCAAAATTTCAACGTCAACTTCAAGCTCGTGCCTTTCAATTATAACCCATATGAAAAAAATATTGAGATACATATTCTTGTGTAAAAAAATCTTATTTTTCGAATGGCATCGTTAAATTTATTGAAAAATGAACGCAAACAGTTTATTTTTAACAATAAACAAAAAAAAATGCAAATTTTCAAAATTTTTTTCTTTTGAGGAATTTTTTCAACTATGTTCTCGGTACTCCAATATATCCTAACCCATCAGGATACGGGACCCGAAGATTGTACTTCAAAATTATATCTTTAGATACTTCGATTTTGACTGTTAATAGGTAAGAATTACTTGAGCAGGTCTTGCAGGAAATCTGGATCATTACTCCATGAAACCAAACAACTTGAGGTCCGAAAGCTGTGCGGCAATCAGGGTTGTGGAATTCGTACACGAAAGTTTTGCACTAAGTGTTCTATGTATTATTGTGGTACATGCTTCAAGACGACTCATCCCTAAATGGAAGGAAGATAAGAAACTAAAAATTAAAAAAACCTAAGAAAATGTTTGAAAAATACAAAAAATACAAAAAAATACAAAAAAAAAACAAAAAATATACAAAAAATATACAAAGAATACAAAAAAATACAACAAAAATATGATTCTCGAAAGCGTTCACCTCCTCGTGGTGAGAATCGGGCAACTCTAGTGATTACTGATAAATCAGAAGCAACGAACGCGCGATCGCCATCGTAAGGCCATTACATCGTCTTAAAAGCACGATTGCGAATTTTCGATTTCTGATACTTTGGGAATTTTTCACTCGAGAATGATGACTCTGAGCGAGAAAATGAACTGAAGTTATTTGATCTCAAATTTTACGTAGAATACGATGGTATTTTTTATTTTCCGTAAATAGCTATTTTTCAGGTTACGGTCCGCCATATTGGATTCGCCATTTTGAATTTTGATAAGCTAATAATGAATTTAGATCTAATGATTCAGAGAGTTTGAACGATCAAACGATCAAAAAAAGAGGATTGGAGACTATAAAGTGGCTATAAAAACGTGTAAATACGTTATTTCAGCTAACTCTTGGTGGCCGCCATCTTGAAAATCAATTGCGTGAGCTAATTTTGCTAATATGCATCCAATCTTTTGACATAAAACTTAGAAAAGTCACTGCCTGTTAAAACTTAGATTCGACTTCAAAAGTGCAAATTTCTGTGATTTTGCAATAATTTCGGGCATTCGGGCCATTTTGGATCGATTAACAGTCAAAATCGAAGTATCTAAAGATATATTTTTGAAGTACAATCTTCGGGTCCCGTATCCTGATGGGTTAGGATATATTGGAGTACCGAGAACATAGTTGAAAAAATTCCTCAAAAGAAAAAAATTTTGAAAATTTGCATTTTTTTTTGTTTATTGTTAAAAATAAACTGTTTGCGTTCATTTTTCAATAAATTTAACGATGCCATTCGAAAAATAAGATTTTTTTACACAAGAATATTTATCTCAATATTTTTTTCACATGGGTTATAATTGAAAGGCACGAGCTTGAAGTTGACGTTGAAATCTTGGCCATTTGAGCGTTAAAGGGTTAAATTAAGAGAAATAAATAGTGTTATAGCTAAAATCCATAACCCTTGTTACCTTATTGCAACTACACTATAAGTTCAATATGCATATCATACATTGCAACTACCCGTTTGATTACATCACATAATACATCGCAACTATACGTGTAATCGATTCTTTTTGATTGCATAAAATTTTTAAAATTGATATTCATATTATTATTATTATTATTAATATTATAAAGGTATATATGTGTGTGCGTGTCTATATATATATATATGAATATATGCATGTGTATGTACGTAACACATGCAGTTGCAATGTACGTAAGGTCTATTGCAATTATATAATTGTGTAATGTACAGTAATTATGTGTGTAAGTGCATTATTACATTGTAACTAAATATTTACAAATTGATATTCATATTGCTATTACGTACATATGTAAGGAAGATCTGTATGTATGCGTGCATTTCATTGCAGTTTTATTCATATTAAAATTCACCAATATAATGGCTGCTAGCGGTAACACTTCAAGTGTTGAACGCTCTTATCACCTGTTGAGCGACATGCTCACAGTGGATACCCTTCATTACTCTTATTTGCCAGTGCGCAGCACGTGGGCTATAACTAACCACTCATTGGCTAACATTTAGTTGCGGTGATTTCATTACCTAATGAAGAAAAAAATTGTTTTAATTGCACCGTTTTATTTAATTTTTCAAGGCGAATTTAAAGAACCCATTATATGTTTTAGAATCACTCTGTATATGGTACAAAATTCTGTCACCCACGGCAGAATATTTATGAAAATAATTAATATAACTTATAACACTAATGTAATTTTTTCTATTATTTTCAGAATAATGAGGATCAAGTACATTTTACTGATGCTTCAATCTTTCCATCCAATGCATCTTTACAAACTGTTGAATCGGGCAAGTCTGGACCAATTGTGGATGACACACAAAATACGTTTTCAACATCTAAAAATAATTTTAATCATAGATCAGCAAATTTTAATGTGAATGCTTTTCATAATTCTACAAAATGTATAAATCAATTGATTTATACAAGTCAGGCATGTAAGACTGTACAAAAAAGTACAAAAGTATTTCCATCAACTAACAGTATAAAGTCCGAACTGACACAAAATGTAGACTTATTAAATGCTAATAATAATACTAATGAGGATATATTAATTATAAGGAAGTCTATTACGCCTTTCGAAAAACTGCAATCAACTTCGTCTGAAAAACTGTGTTCTCGAAATGGAACAAATGATATATTTGACTCAGAGATCGAAATGTCCAATAAATCAATTGAGGACAAATTGATTACAGTTACTAATAGTCAAGAACATAAATACAAACAACTAGCTGAAAAACAAAAGTATCATCTTACAACAATAATTCAGGAAGAAAAATCAGATCACGATAAAAATAAGCTTGTTGGAGACAAAAACTCTGAAGAAATAATTTCTTCCAAGTCGTATAATCAAAATTTAATATCTACTCATAATGCACAATCTAATTTACAAAAAATTACACATCCTGTAAACCACGAGTTTGTAGAAACTGATAATACTATCTTAATTGAAAAGCCAGGGACTAAAATTGATCAAAATGTTGAAGTTCTAAAATCTCCAACTCCGATCATGCAGTCGTATAAGTGCTTGCATGAAATTGATACAATTAATCATGTTCCCAAAATATCTACATTCACAAAAGTTGAAATGCCTTCAGAAGAAAATAATTTTAAATATAATTATGTATCTGCCTTTTCAACGCAAAATTTTGAAAATATTAAGACAGATAATTCATTTGTAGAAATCAATACCGAAGTGGAATCTACTCAGGATGAAGTAAATAAGCCTCGGCAAGAGAGTGAAATAAATGTTAATATTATTGGCACGGTTTTAGCATTGAATAGTAACCCGGGACTCAATGAAGATGAAATGGCAAGCTCATCTTATGTGCCCGAGACACCAGAAAATCAAGAAAGAGACCAAGATCAAGAGAGCGCCATAAGTACTTCATCTTACGAGATTCTACCCTGTGAGGAATTGAACATTGTACAATCAAACTTAACACCAGACACATCAATGCACGGGGACTTCTCGAACATAGATAATAATATTATAATTGATATGCCTGATATGTCGGAGATTGTAGATTTGCCAAATTCGTCTTGCAGTCTTCATTCCGATTCGAGTATAGTCGGTGCAGAATTGACATCAGCATCAATTTTTAATGATGTAATGAATACAGAGTCAACGTCTATAACAAATGTGTCGGCGAAAATAGATTCTCATACAGCTACATCAACTTCACCAAGAGTTTCTCTAAATTACTTAAAATTGAATAAAAAAGAAATAACACCTAGCGTTTCACAGTCGGATCTAGAACAAGAGTATTATGAAGCAAAATCCAAAGAACAGTCAAACAACAGTTACTATTCCAATGATTTCAATGCTCGTTTGATTTCAAACTCAGAAAATATAAATCTTCAAAGTCATGAGACAACATCAAAATTATATCGAGGAACATCTATATTTGATAAGCAATGTTTGGAAGAAGGACCAGAATTTAATTTATCTTATGTAGATTCTTATTCTGCAAATTATGCAACGACCTCATCATCTCCAGAAAGGCATAACTTAGAAGACATCTCAAGTGCAACCAAGTCAACGGATAGATAATAAAAATAATTCCAAATTTTCAATAAACTTTGCTCATAGCACGATTGCTCCCTAAAAATTCATTACAAAAAAATGGAAATTTTAATCGTTAATGCATCTGAATTAAGCAGTCGTTTTTAAATGTATATATAGTAGATTAGTTCATATAGTTATTTTGATATTACGTATAGATTACTATGATTTATAACCAAGTTTATAAATAACTTTTAATTAGAATAACATTTAATCTACATGTTTTACTTTAAGTTTCTATTTTATTTATCTTGCAAAGGATTTACATCCCTTTGAAAAATAAAAAGCTCAATACAAAATTGTTATTAAAGTTGATTAACCAAAAATAATAAACGATTTCTCATATAGTCTAATACTTATCTTTAATCTTAAGAAATTTTTAAAATAGGCATAATGAGATATTTCTAGTTCGTTTTCTCTTTCAACGTATTTATTCGCACCGACTATGGTAGTATCGTAATTGATTATAAACCGGTTGCGCTTGGCCACCTCAAATTAACGTCGATTGACCTAGTGTCGAACCACTTACGAAGACTATGGGGTTCATTCTTTCCCTTACTGACAATATTAAAAAGTTAGATGGTGGTGGATCGTATTATAAATTAAACAGGTTAGTTTATATTATGGGGTTTATATTCTATCGAGAAAGCAAGGAGAAGATCAGCGGTTATCAAGGATTGTTGATCAAATCCGATTTCTTTTTCTACGTGCATATTTATGTAGAGTCAATCAACCTATTTAAAATGCATATTATAATAAGATTAGTATTATAACAATAGGAAATGTGAAGTATGGAAGTTAATCAAATAAAACTTGAGTATAGAATGTAGGTTTGGCTTATTTTCTGTTCATTTCTACTAAGTAAGAAAATTGGGATCTTCAGTTTTAGAAAAAAGCGTGCATAAAATTTTATATTGATTATACATAATTATAACTAATATTTATACATAAATACAATTTGATGGTTTTGTAATAGCGTGAATGCTTTGGAATGAGAAAGAAAGTAAATAAATTTTATATACTTACAAAAGAACGAAAAATAACTTTGTTATGGTTGAGAGGCGTGACTGTTTATATATTACAAGATTACTCTTTGTTTAGTAAAAGTAGAAAAAGAGCACAAAAATATAATTGTACGCACAATTATGTACAGAGGAATAAAAAAAATTAGTTACGAATAAGGATCAAAATTGCCGAAAATGCTGAGCGGCGGTTTTTGCGGTGTATTGCTTCTGCTATTGTTCTTTCTCCTCCAATTTGCTTTGTGGATACGTAACATACTGTCTTGATTCCCTTATAGTTTTCTTAAATGATAAAATTTGTAATAATGGAAAGAAGGGAAATAGTGAGAGCTAGAAATTCACTTAATTTTAATTATATTCAGCAACGTTTCGTCAGCATATTTGCTGACCTCTTCAGGCTTTATTAACAGAAAAAAAACAAATTATTAACAATAAAGTTACAAATGTAATTTTAATGACATAATTATATGTACATGTGTGTACGTACCTGATTTCTCTCGTAGTCAAATTATTATAGGCTAAAACGAATAGATCGTAGCCAGTTATCCTCTTCGATCTCAATAAAGGCTTATAAATATGACTAAGATATTGTATATGGCCCATTCTCGCTTACGGCGAATGCCTCCAGACCTATATGTCATCGATTTTCTTGAAACTTGGTAGGATGATTGTTTATATGAAGAACAATATCCGTACAAATTTTTAGGTCAATATATTAATTATTTAAAAAGTTATTAACAATTAAAAAATTTCAACGAATTTTTTTTTCTATTCATATCTCGCTAACCGCAAAAGCTATCGACACGAATGTTTTTTTAAAATACGCACAAAACTACATACTTTTAAGATAATAATATAGAAAACCATTTTTTTTATTTTTTCAAATGTTTTTAACTTTTGAATATAAAAAGTAAATTTTTTTCGATGACGGTAGTCTTGCATTTCAAAAATTCTTTTTCCATTGTATTCCTTGGCCCTTTTTCTATGAAAAACCGTTTTAACATTTTTGTAATCGGCACTTCCAGCCTCGTAATAAACAATAAACTAGTGACGGCGCCGACGCGCCGTTCGGACGGCCGCAGACGCTCGAGCGGCACACTAACCGATTGTAGCTTTCTTGTTGTATTTGTATTTTTTTTTTACTACAATTTGGTCTTTATTACCTCTATTTTATTGTACTATTGTTAACCTAATATCAAATAAATTCAGCTTTTGTGTTAGTGATACAAATCTATAATAATTAAGGGCCCTAAGACGCGCCGGTTGGACAGCTTATTGGCGTCAGGCTTAAGCACCTGGCAATTAGCTGTGCCGCACTAATGACAGTTCTAATTTATGGCCTCATAGATAGTGTAGGTGAGAGTGACAATATTTATTATTAAGAAAATTTGTAGGTGTGAGGTAGGCTGGCCGAAAGATAAGTCTCTGAGGTTCGTCCTCCAAATTTAGTTTTCTCGTGAACGTTCACGTAGAAGGTTGTGTCTGCCATTCCAGTGAAGTTTTGTGCTTTCAAAATGGTAAGAACGAGCCCCATAAGCATTAAATATTGCAAAAATATTTTTGATAAACATGAAAAAGCCCGTAGAGGGAATTTCAAAAAATTGTCAGATGGGATCTATGCTGTCTTTTCTTCATTTTTGCAAAGTGGTGAATTTTTGTGTGAAAGTTGCCGAGTAGTATGTTATCGGATCATGAAAGAACGAAAAAATCTGATCAATAATAATCAGACTCCACGTTCGATAGAAGATTATGTGAGAAATATACAGCAAGAAAAGCACAAATTAATAGATCTGTTTCTCCAGTAGGCCAGGAAGGTGAGCCGATGGAGATAGACTCGTGCGATTCGGAATCATTTCAAAATTCATTCATTGATACTGATGGCACTAGACACGAAGATTTTAGTTTAAGTTTGTGTCAGCAACAAAATGAAGTGCTTGAAACAGTGAATAAATTGTGCAAACAATTGAACATAGATATTATAAGCACAGCCGATAAGAAAAATTCTGAAGTTATACAGAAAAAGCTACATACTGTCACATTAAGTCTCAGTAAGTTATTCCTCAAAGACTCCAAAAATGCCATTACAGATAATCACAGTCATTTTGAAACAAAATTTACGCAGGATTTAAAATTAAAGTACCATAAAGCTGAAAATTATTCAGAAAAAATTAACATTTTGTTATTTGCACCTTCTACTTGGAATCTATCTGAAATGCAGAAAAAAATAGGTTGTACAATGTATGCTGCTCGTGAGTCAAAAAAAATTCGTGAAACTGAAACTATATTTTATCAGCCCGTGCAACGCAAGAGGTCATCAGCTCTAACAGATGTTCAAATCAAAATGGTAATAGATTTTTTCTTCAATTTTGGAACAAGTAGAGAATGTCCTGGTATGAGGGATACCAAAACTGTAAAACTAGGACAGTCATCAGAAAAGCTCGAAAAACGTTTACTGCTACACAGTATGAAAGAAATTTTTGCTCTTTTTACTGAGGAATACGGTAAGTTCCTTGGGTTTTCTACATTTTGTCGATATCGCCCTCCGCAATGTATTTTAGTAGACGAATCAAAACGTTTTCATAATGTTTGTGTTTGCATCAGTCATCAAAATATTATACTGCTACTAGAACCTATACTTAAAATATGTAGAAAATTCAAATTTCAAGACCACATTCTTTTCAATTATCGACAAATTTTAGATGAAGCATTATGTTCAGAGACAACGGAAGCATGTCACTATGATGAATGTTTTGACTGTCCTGGTGTAAATAATATACTATGTAAGATCCTCGATGTACTTCAATCACATTCAATAGAGACACTTGAATTTAAGCAATGGGCTACTACTGACAATAGATGTCAATTAATTGATGTGCAGTATACAAAAAATGAATTCATTCAACATTTAAGTAAAATTAATTCCAATTTTGAGAGCCAACCCGTTATTAATTCAAAATTGGAATTAATTTTACTTAATAAATGGAGAGTGCTACATATAATACATATTCAACATTTCCGACAAAAATTTATGAAAGAGTTTAGACTGCATAATTATATCGCTAAAAGTCAGGGTGACTTTGTAAGAAAAACAATAGAAAATTTGAGTGAAGATGAAATAGTTGTGATGTCAGACTTTGCAGAAAATTATGTTTGCACCCATCAAGATGAAGTCCAAGCTGCTCACTGGCGTTACACTCAAGTAACGGTACATCCATTTTTTATTTAAAGAAAAGTAAATGGTAAGGTAGAGAAGGAATCATTTGTGATAATTTCCGAAAACCTTCAACACAACGTACAAGCAGTGTCGTTGTTTCCAGAAAAACTTATTAATTATATCAAAAGTAAGAACTACAATGTACACAAAATTTTTTATGTGTCTGATGAAGCTGCAAGTCAGTATAAGAATCGATACAATTTTTTTAATTTAGCCCATCATCATCAAAAGTATTGTATCCATGCAGAGTGGCACTTTTTTGCAAGTTACCACGGAAAAAGTCCGTGTGATGGAGTAGGCGGAACTGTGAATAGATTAGCCCGCCGAGCTAGTTTAAGAGGCAAATATATAAGCAATGCTGTAGAATTGTACGAGTGGGTAGTGTCAGCATTACCGAATATGACTTTTGCGTATTGTACAAACGAAGAGCACGCAAAAATAACTGAAGAACTAAAACTAGATTTCGCAAAAGCTAAGACTATTAGTAGAACACAAATGTCTCATGCTTTTATTCCGCTTAATGAAAAACAGATAAAAATTAAGAAAGTATCATATTCTAATGAATTTATTGTACAGAACGTATTGTAGTTATTAATTATAATTCCATTGTTATATCTATAATAAACGTACAAATGTATTTATTCAAAATAAAACAAAAATTAAAGTGAATATTTTATTTAGAGCTTTCCCCATTTTCATTATTAATATAAAAGCTGAATTTGATATTAGGTTAACAAAAGTATAATAAAATAGAGGTAATAAAGACCAAATTGTAGTAAAAAAAAAATACAAATACAACAAGAAAGCTACAATCGGTTAGTGTGCCGCTCGAGCGTCTGCGGCCGTCCGAACGGCGCGTCGGCGCCGTCACTAGTTTATTGTTTATTACGAGGCTGGAAGTGCCGATTACAAAAATGTTAAAACGGTTTTTCATAGAAAAAGGGCCAAGGAATACAATGGAAAAAGAATTTTTGAAATGCAAGACTACCGTCATCGAAAAAAATTTACTTTTTATATTCAAAAGTTAAAAACATTTGAAAAAATAAAAAAAATGGTTTTCTATATTATTATCTTAAAAGTATGTAGTTTTGTGCGTATTTTAAAAAAACATTCGTGTCGATAGCTTTTGCGGTTAGCGAGATATGAATAGAAAAAAAAATTCGTTGAAATTTTTTAATTGTTAATAACTTTTTAAATAATTAATATATTGACCTAAAAATTTGTACGGATATTGTTCTTCATATAAACAATCATCCTACCAAGTTTCATGAAAATCGATGACATATAGGTCTGGAGGCATTCGCCGTAAGCGAGAATGGGCCATTTCAAGTGTCTTTATGTAAGCCGATGCGCGCGTGTGTGTGTGTGTGTGTGTGTGTGTGCAACATTTCGGATATTCTGCGTTTCTTATAACTCTTTTCATAATCCAATGTCTTAGCTTAGTCCTAGTAAAATTCGTGTGAGAGAGTTCTTCTATGTGTAGCTACTCCTGTATCTGAGTCAGTGTTTTTTTGTGTTCATTTAATCTAATTTTTAAGGATTCTTATTCTTACTTTCATCTTCTTACTTTCATCTATATAGACCGCTGAACATTGTTTGCAGCTAAAACTGTAGACAATACAAGTGTTGTCTAATAAATCAGATTTGTCGTTTCCTAAACAAATGAACTCTT